ATATTAAAACCCTAGTTTTCATATTTTTCTTATTAAAGGAAAAATTCAACATTTATGGGTATACATGGATTTCAAATGAAGTTTGCCCTTGGCCTCATATCATATACATTAAAATAAGTGTCAAAAAGTGTGCTTAGGCACATATTACAAGTTTCAAGGCAAAATCGACATTTTGGTCTAATTATACAATACAACTTGGAAAGGCAAAATTTAAACATGTTAACACTTGCATGTGAATAAGAATAAATTTAAAGAACTTCAATTCATCGAAACGACCTAGGGATATTGTGCATCCTAAACCAAGGAATCCGTACCTGAAAACAACCCGATAACTTTGGGGTGAGTAAACTAGTTACTCGTAGGGAATGTGCATGCATAAACCTAACATTTTACAAGAGTATCACATTAATGTGAAACAATTCAAAAGGTCATGCCGCCTAACGTCTATGTTAAATGTGAGACTCAGGGAGTATCTTAAGCTACCTTAGAACATTTCTAGCATAAACCATATTTTTATGCAATTCAAACAATATAAAAGTATGTTATACAAAGCAACAAGATATAGATTCTCAAAGCCATCAACTTGAAATCTAAAATACGAAAACAACTAAAGTGGATCATGCTACCTAACGTCTATGTTCCAAATGAATCTATAGGATCATTCCTAAGCTACATTTGAACATCCAAGTCTAGTTCATCATAATCGAATTATATTCGATTTGATTTTCACCATGGCATACATGATTATTGAGATATGTAGGCAACTCAGTTTGGTCCAAAATTTGGTCATGCCACACTTATATTTTCTATGTCCTACACCTTTTCATTCTAGTCACACCTATTAAGGCCTTAGATCATTTCACATGTACGCCACAGTCATATTTTCTACGTCCCACACCTTTTCATCCTAGTAATGCCTATTGAAGCCTTAGATCCTTTCACAAAATTATTGAATACCCCGGGGGTATGGTACCTCAGGACTGTGAGAGCCATTAGATCATAGATATGGTGGTGGGCCCCACCACATCTAAGGGATGGGATAACCTCGGGATACCATACCCCTAGGGTATTCAATAATTTCTTCACATGCAGAAACAGTTTAAATTTTAGGGAATGGTAAATTCATAAGTAACACGAAAGATAAAGTAAGTAACGTGTGGCAATGGTAAATTCACAAGCAACACGAAAGATAAAGTAAGTAATGTGTTTGATGTGGATGTCTTGAAGTGCCTAACACATTCCCCAAGTATAACTAAATCCTGGAATCCATTAATTTGGATTACACCAACTAGTCGAGAGTCATAACATTAAGGCCCTGTAACATCCCAAACCCAAGGGTACTCCGGATCGCTGACCGGGTCTTTAGCCAGACCCGAGGTGACACAGGGCTACTATGGTCATTCCACAGTAATTTAATGATTTAAGGTCCACTAAGGGTAAAATTGTCATTTACTAGAGTCATTTCAAGAATTAAATGAGGTATGGAGGCCTTATAGCCATACCACGTCATTCTAACGCTCCTAAAGTTCATAGGGGTATAATGGTCTTTTTGCATGGTCAAATAATAATATTAAACCCAAAAGGGTAAAATAGACTTTTACCGTATTTAAATAGTGATATAGAATCCCTTGGGGGCAAAATAGTCATTTTCTGGTCAAAATACGATATCACACCCTTCAGGGTTAATTCTATCATTTTTAGGGTTATTTTGCACTTTGGTTAGGGTCTGGGGGTCATTGGGTAATTATATTGAAATATAAAGTCCTTATGGAAATATTAGTTCATCTAACCGGTTACATCTAACCAGTTAGAAGATTTCTTCTAACAGGGTACATGAATGGCCAGTGAACAAATCGTAAAAAAAATCATATCTAATCGATTAGGAAAACTTAATCTAACCGGTTAGATAATAAAAATCATCTAACCTCTTCTCTACCCCATACATCTAATCGAGTACAAAGAATCTCCTACCCGGGTAGAAGAACACCCCCAATCAATCTAACCGGTTAGAAAACCCCTTCTAACCGGTTAGATGGGAAAAACCCATCAAACCAACACACTGCCCATTCATCTAACCAGATAGGTGTTCATTTCTAACCGGTTAGAAAACCCCTTCTAACCGGTTAGATGGGAAAAACCCATTAAACCAACACACTGCCCATTCATCTAACCAGATAGGTGTTCCTTTCTAACCGGTTAGATAATGCCCAAAGGTGAATCTAACGAAATTCCTTACTTCCCAAACCCAATCAAATGCAATCCCCAAACACTTAAACATGAAGTTAGAACTCCATGAACATCATCAACTATTTAAATGTTTCATAAAATCTACAAATAACATCATTCATACATCTTTGGAACATTTATACAAGTACAAAAGAATATGTTTACAAGATGATGAGGCATCCATGGCCAAAATTTACAAAGGCTTCACTTGAAGCTCACAAAAGAATATAATTACATTGCAAAATCACTGTCCATGATAGTCTATTACAAAAGATATCAATAGCTCATCCTTACACTCTAAGCTTACGGGGGTGCGTCGTCTACAATATCCTTGCCATGTCATGAAAATGTGAAATATGGGGTAAGTACAACGGCTTGGTAGGGAATGCCTAAAGCATTAGCTTTGGATTCCCTTGAGTCAACATACAAAGAAAAGAAACATGATATGGGGGTCATGCATGGGAATGTCAATAAGTCATAATCAACACAAATACATCACAATGCAATGAAATGTCATGTTTTTCCCGACCAACATCCCTGCCCGACTCAACGCACACCGAAAACCGGTAATCAACTTTACTGAGGTGAGATTGATTAGCTCTCCCTAGTTCTAAATCCGGCAACTATTTGAGGCCTAGCAATCAACGTTACACGTCCAAATCCGGCACGCGCTCCTTCTAAGTCGAATTAGCCCCGAACTCGCGAAACCCGGTTCTTTTCATAAAATCATTTTCCCAACCATTCCCAAATTACTTTCTTTTTTAAAAACATTTCAACCACCATTCCCTAACCATGCTCATGCCATGAATGAACTCATGCATTATAGAGATCAATATTTTCATGCTTGTAACGTCATAGCAATCGAATTACACATATAATCAACATCACATTTAGACATGCTTTCTCTATTCAACATACAACACCATTTCAACTTCAAATTTGATATTTAGAGCAAGTAAAACATGAGATCAAGAAAAGAAACTCAAACAAGAGATAAAGCAGTGTACTTTAAACATCTCTACCTTAAGAATGCAACCCAAAGGCCTTAGCTCCCAAGCTCGAAAATCCCCAAATGGAAGCAAGACCGGAGTAAAAATATAGACCTTGAAGAGTAGAACAACCTTTCCTTCTTACTCCCCACCTAGATCTTCCTTTAACTAGCTCAAATCTTAGAGAGAAGCTTGAGATTTTAGCGAGAGGAAATGAAATGAAGGAGAGAAGGAGAGAGTGTGTAGCCGAAAGAGGGGAGAGGAATTGAAATTGTGGTCAAAGCTTGGCCATTTTCTTTTCAAAATGTATGGCCTAAAATGGGTCAAAAGTCCACCCAAACTCAAATACCATAAATGCCCTTCAAAGCTCACTAAAACTACACCATGCCACATAATATCTATATCCACCCACATAACACACACACACACACACACACACACATATATATTCACAACTAATACATTATATCACAAATATATAAATACATGGCAATGGAAAATAACACCGGGACCCACACGGCATGTAAAACAATGCACAAAAAATAAATAAAAATAGAAATAAATACCGAAAAGTTCGAAAAAAATTCGGGACACTACAGGCCCACAGTCCAACCTTGTAAGTGTCCATCCCACCACTTATGTTAGGTGGCGACTCCAAACAACATAGAACATTGGCCACATATATAACATCACACTATTAGGTCATAGCTTCTCCGACGCATAAAGATTCATGTTTTCACTTCACAGGAACCGACAAGGACCTCCCTTGGGGGGATGAGACAATCACAGGCGTAACAATACCGATTAAAAACATGACTTCAAAATTTGGTCAATTTTGAGTTATGTTGTAGATAACGAAAATCAATATCATTGAATTCTAGGTTGTTAGTTTTCTTTGTTTCAATTTGGCCAAACTCTTCTATTTATTTCTAGGAAGCACATATCTAAATACGGAACACAAGTACGACACAATACGGGCGCAGTGAAAAGAAAATTTTCAAAAAAAAAAATGGGACACAAATACGACATAGATACGTTAAAAAATAAAAAAACGTAATAAATTGTTATATAGATAACTAATAAGTTTTTTTTATATCATTTTATTCATATAATCATAAATGAAATCACAATTTTAGAGTTTTCAATTAGATATTTATTATTTTTGTTTTCCTAAATTTTATTTTATTTATTAAATTAATTCATAATATATTTTATATTGCATTGAATCCAAGAATAATTACAAAATAACATATCATAAACTGAAAGTGACTAACGCTCCGTTTGTTTCGACGTAAAATATTCTTTTTGGAAAATATTTTTCTTTCAACGTAAACCTTTGTCAAATACCAACAAAGTAAAATAATATTTTAATTTTACTTTGTTGGTATTTGACAAAGGTTTACGTTGAAGTTGAGGTCAAGTCCATCGGGCAAGGCATGTAAAATAACTTGTCGAAAATTAATGAATACGTTATTTTTGTTAAATTTAGTATTTTTTTTGATAAATATTTTATAACAACCAAACACCAAAAATTAAAAAATATATTTTTTGAAAAATATTTTACTGTCAAAACAAACTGAGATTAAAAGGCATCGAATTGTGTTTAACAAAATAATAACAATAATAATAATAAGAGATTCAAATTTGAGGACTCTTTTTGAACATGTATGGGGTGAGACACGGTGAAAGAGGAGGCGGTGAAAAATAATAAAAAAAAAAGTAAAAGACGTTAAAGTGCTTTTATTTAATAAACTTTACAGAGGCTTGTTGAGTTACATATATATATGTGCGCGCGAGCGCGTAAGTCAAGTCGTAGAATTCATCGATTTTCTTTCTGGATCGCTCGCTTGCTCGGTCGATCACTCACGTCTGTGATTTTCCGGAGTAGCTAATTTTTGGTGGGCGGATAGAGGAGGACGAATGATGAAGAGCAATTCGGAGAAAAGGTTTGTCCAACAAAAAAAAAAGCCCCTATTTTCATTGTTTCGTTTTGGTTTGCTAATCTGAATTTTGTCCCTTATTTCTTCTACTTGTGAGTAAATTTTATATAACTAATACAGTTGTTGCTATTTTTTCTTTATGTATATATTTCTGTTGAACTAGTGATAATTTGTTAACCGAATCACCCTGTAAATTGGAATGGGAAATAAGAGAGGAGAAGGAGCGGAAGGAGTTGGATTTGTTGTTAGAAAGAATAGTGGGAAGAATAGAGGGGAAGAAGAAGTCGAAGAAGGTTGAGACAGGGACGTTAGAGGGACTGTCTGAGTGGTCAGTATTGAAGTCAGAGGAGAGAAAAAAGTTTGTTTGCGTGTTTTTTCGCTTCTTTATTCTTTGTATGCCTATGTTATTGCGGCAAGCGATTTTATCAATGTTCCTAATCCACCACCACCCTCTCCTGCCGTGACAATACTAGAGATTCCCCGTCATGAAAAATTTCCTATCGGGATGGCCTGCGTTGAATTGGGCTCTCAAATTTACTTTGTTGGAGGTCAGTGTCAGTTGGAGGATGGATATTATGCCTCTAAGAAGGTTTATTACTTGGATTTCAACACCTTTAGAAATAAACTGACCTCTACTACTACTAGTAGTGGTAGTCTAATCAATTGTGATGAATTATCAGAATGCCCCAATATGAATGGGGGTAAGTGTAATCCGGTTGTTATGACTGCGAATGGTAAATTATATGTCTTAACTAGCCTCATTGGTGGGGATTTGAATACCAGAACTTTGGGTTCCCCTCCTGATTTTAATGTCACTGACTGGACTTTGATTGCTTTTTACGGTTCTGAATGGAAAAGTTGTGCATTCGAAGTCTATGATCCCGTGACGGATGAATGGACCATACTGCCTCTGCCCACTTCATATTCTTCTCCAAATCATAGTCTTCCTGCTTATTGTTCTGGACATGCCGTCATCCATGACAAGATCTTCTTCTGTAACTGGGGTGACATCATTTCTACTTTTGATTTGAAAACTCATAAATGGAAGTTCTTCGATGCCAAAACCATTGCAAAGACACAGGCACAGACTTGTGACGATGCCTTTGCACGTTCGTTGGTGGATAATCCCGTGAGTGGATGTGGCCTCGTTCTCAATGATACCTTATATGGCTTTTCACCAAGTCAAAAAGGGGTCTGTAGCTTTTGTGCATATCATATCCCTGACAACCTTGGAGATGCATTTATATCTCATGCTTCACTCAAATTGACAGATTCATACCTATTGAAAAGGGACTCCAAATCAGGCTTATTTGTGCTGCTGCAGGCCGGTTTCTTTTATTTAGGAAATGATAACTTCTGTTCAGTTTTTCGTGAGACTCCAGAAATCAAGTATACTGAATAAGACGATGAGGACCCTCACGAGGCTTCTGAAGTTTACTTCGTAGTGTTTCAAATTGTCAAAGAAAGAACTTGCAGCGGAGATGTCTGTTGGCCTATCAATCAATCAAGGACCTGCAAAGTCCAGGGAATCAATGCTGATTTGGGCTCAATTTTCGATTTCTTCACACTGTAGATGTTGCTGGTCTTGTATCTGTCACTTTCTCCCTCTTGTTGTCTGTTTGCTTTTCTGCTGGCATTATGGACCTTTTTACTTGAATATATATATTTTTTGATAAGTTAACTTGAATATTAAGTTTATATATTTGACTTTTGGATATATAGCTTACTCTGTGTCATGATTGAAGGTTAATGATCTTAGATCAGACCTTATCTCTGGTAACACATGTGATCTGAATGATTTTCAGGGATGGAGGTTGTTTTGAACTAGATTATAATACACATCAATTTTTTTTTTTTTTTTGAACCTAGTGTTGTTTTGCATCTCTCTCTCTCTCTGCTTTTTATTTTTCTTCTGGTCTATGCTGCTTCAGGGAATTTGGAAAAAGAACTGTGTCTGGGTTCTATGAGCAGCTACTTCCGAAATGATTCTTTATTTTTTTCTTATGGTTATGTTTATGTTTTTCACTCATGGAAAGCTTTTGTATTTGTGATTTTTTCTTGAATAACAAGTTGACAGGGAGGCTTTATATTAAGTTGAATTAACATGCTTTATTTACAACTTCATTTCGCACTTTGAAATGCTCGCAATTTCACTTTCACTACTTCCAGAAAAGCTACTTCTCTAGGTGACTTGATGTGGCGGTGATATCTATCACTTGAACCTCTATCCAAAAGAAACCAATCTATTGTTATGGTTAGTTCTTCTTGATTATGTGATTTACACTTTTCATAAGAGCAACGGTACGCTTTTGATGGTTCCACAACCAGTATCTTTTTTCTCATTGCCTTTTTTTCTACTTCGGTCTAATGTGACTTCCTGAGATGTAGAAATAAAAACAATATATGGAAAAAAGGAACTGATCAACAACCTGAGGTTATTCATAAAACTTAAGGTAATCTTGCTTTTTTGTTTATCAGCAATTTTTCAATCAGAGAATGAATTTCTGTATGTTCCACCATGACTAACTTTCTCCGTCTGTTATATTCTTACTATTGGAGTATTACCATTGGCAAGATGGCTCCTTTACCCATTCACATTGTGGTGAAATTTTCATGCTTGCATCTTGTATGTGTTTAGCTTGTTGAATTTGAGCATCAATTTACTTCTTAGTCCTATTTGATGTTCAGAATTGATATATGAGTGCACTGTAAGATGGCCATTTTTTGCAATGCCACTTTTTATTGTGCACCATAACTCACTACTTGTTCCTTTACATGATTTTGGCTTATATATATATATATATATATATATATATATATATATATGTTTATTTATTTATTGTTGTTGGTTGTATTTTCGTATATGCATTATGAAATGGTTTTACTTGTTATAATCTTGTAGGCTAATAGCCTTTTGAGGATCCTCAGTGTAGCATCTTGTTTTTTCCCCTTAGTAAAGTCAATTTTATACTTTGTATAAAATTTATACCAACAAACATAACAAAATTACAACAAAGAGGGCAAGCCCTATGAACAACAATACAAGCAAAAGAAAGAATAAAGACCACTTCCAGAATCCAGCTCTCAAAAACAAAAACAGAATACAAAGAAATAAATACCTAACAATACAAATCATACCACCAAATCTCAATATCCTCAACTATGCCATGCCATAATGAGGATCAAACTGCTCAAACTCAAATACTAATCCCTATCTGCTCAAGAAAGTTCTGCTAGGGCAGTCCCATAGAGTCGGGCATTTCCCACAAAATAGAAATAGCAATTTGATAGTTATGAAGAGAACTTCAATCATGCAAAACTTGATTTCTGTTCAGCCACAACCTCCAAATTGTCAGCACAAACACCCGCTGATATATTTTATTCCTCCTAGATTTCTTGGAGAAATGGAGACCAAACCACTCAACTAGATGTTGAAAATATATTATACAGCCCAAACTCCATCTGAACAAATCAGCAAACCAAAACCAGATTTTTCTGACAAAGTCACACTGAAAGAATAAGTCCTCCATAGAATCAGCACTTTTAAACAATTTTGACAGATAGAAACTACAGTCAAACCTGTTTTTTGAATGTTGAGTAGAGATGGGAGCTTATTCTGGATGGCTAAACAAGTGGTATAATAAGTAGCAGGTCTAGCAATCCAACCTCAATCCAGTTCTTCTTAGGATAGTGTACTCCACAAGCATTCCAGAAGGCTTTGAAGGAGCCGCGGCATGTTTCCAGACTATAGAATCAGAACCTCCATGAATGTTAATTGAAGAGATTTAGTTCCACACTTCATTTGCCTCCTCTTTGATGAAGTTAGGTCTTTTCCATGTTCCATTTTCTATCAATTAACCAATAGTCAATGTTTTCCTCAAGTCTAACTGTCTAACAATTGTTTAGCCAAAAGCTTGAATCAAAGTATCCCCACTGCACCATGGATCCAGGAATAATTTCAAAGTTCTCCCATCACCAACTTCGGAACTCCATTTGCATCCAATATTTCTCTAATGTCTAGAAGATTTTTCCAAAACTAAGATGATGTAGATTTTGCTTTACAGCTCCAAATAGAGGGTTGGATGTCATAAGTAGCCACACACCAAATAATCCAACTTCTATCATTTCTCTGAATTACATCCCACAGCCAAGAGCATTTAGCAGCCCTATCAATGTCCACAAAACTTCTTATACAAATCCCCTTCAGCCTTAGTTCTGGCGATCTGATTCCTTCTAAGCAAATGTAATTTTTTTGTTCCATTCCTGCTGCCCAAAATAAATCTTTTGAACATCAATGGCATTATTAGTGGATTTAGGAAGTTTGAACACTGAGCACCAGTAGTAAAGGTAAGATTGCAACACAGTTTGACTAATTCAGTCCTGCCAGCTAGGGAAAGATTTAAAGACACCCAACCAATAATTTTAGTAGTGATTTTACCCAACCAATAATTTTAGTAGTGATTTTATAAATAAGAGAGATTTACAGTCAACTTGCTTCAACCCTTTGTCCACTGTAGGAAGGGCCCAAATAAGTGATAGGAAGCTTACCATTCTTCATTCCCAGCATATTTGCAATACTTCTGTGTCTTCTAGCAGGTTAGGAAAAGAATATTTGACCCTTGTCCAGACTCCAGATTAACAGCTAGGCCAGAGAACTCCTGGAATTGGGTTAGAATGTTGGAGATAACTCTTGCATATCTAAGAGTAGCTTTGGCTATGAAAAACAAATCATCAGCATTAAAACGGGTGGAAAATTGAAGTTCTGCTTTCAACACAGCTTGAAAACAATCAAATCTGCCATTGCTGACTTCTTTATGCATCATAGCAGTAAAGAATTCCGTTGTGAGAGGGAATAACAGAGGAGAAAGAGGACATCCTTGCTTGAGCCCCTTCTTTGGTTGAAAAATGAACCAGCTGGAGATCCTTTAATCAAAACAGAATGCCAGGATGTAATGAGACATTCCTTAAACCCAACCAATCCATCTACTACTGAATCCAAAAGACTGCATAACAGCAAACAAACAAGGCCAAGAGACAGTGTCGTATGCCTTTTTTTAGTCAATTTTGATTAACATAGTTGGCTAATTTCTTTTAGAACTAAAACCCCTCACTAGTTCATTGATAAGGATCACATTATCTTGGATTTTTCTGCCTTTGATGAAAGCACTTTGTTCCACTCCAATAATTTTATTAAAAGCACTCCACTAAGTCTATTAGCCCTAAATTGGGTGATGATGTTTTAGATAGTGGTGCACAGAGAAATTGGTCTGAAATCCTCTGGACCAAGATGAAATAAGGAAGCTTTAATTTCTTCAGCTGTGACCGACACTTGTAGTGGAGATCATCTTGAGACGATCACTTTCTGGGACTTGAGAAGCACTCAAGGGTTGAGAAGTCTGACCCTGATTATTATCCTAAACAAATTCTGAAAATATTGAACAAACCACTGACTGATTGTCTTCATATCAGTAGTCCATCCCCATTCCCCTTCTAAAGTGTAGAGATTGCATTAATAGCTCTGTGCTGAGCTATTTTTTGGTAGAAAAATTCCGTACTCATGTTATTACCTCTTAACCAACTCACTCTAGCTTTCTGAGCAGCAATTTTCTCGCCATTTTGATCTATTATTGAGGAGACATATGGAACTGGCTATCTTGATAAAAGCAGAGAAGGTATTTTCAAACATTGCCAGGACCTAAATGAAAATTACTCTTGCTTTACGATACCAGGAAAAAAATGTACATATACATATATATGTACATATACATATATATATTGCAATACCTTTTATTCAACATATACAAATAGTTCCTTCTATGTTGTTTGCATTTGGTGCTTGTCATCCATTGCGCTCAATGCATCAGATATGTACACCAGTTCATTAAATCTTTCTATCCCAACTGCTTGTGGATGGCTTCATGACTCGATGTTTGTCAGTCAATGGTTGTTTTTTCTTTGGGTAGCAGCATTTATGTGCCATTGATGTTGTCAATAATTCAGTTGGATTGATTTATGGCTGTTTTTAATTCGGGTAGCAGCACGGTTGGTGTTCTTGAGGAATATTGTATTTGTTTCTTTCATTTATGAATTATTGTTGTTGCATTTAGTTCAGTTATTTGCTAGGTTAGATTTTAACTTTTAAATTTGGTCTTAAAAGTAATCAATCTGTCAATGATGGTGTTTATGCTTGAACTTGATTGAGAAGTCATTTGGGTGTGGTTTTGCTGTGACATAGTTGCTCCCATTTGATTACATTGGAGTGGATGGTTTATGCTCTGATTATCAATCTCTCTCTCAAGTATCAGTTCGATTTTTTTGGTATACGGAAATGCACCTCCTCTTAATCTATATTTTATTTTTTAAAAAAAAAAATCCTCACAACTACCGGCTGCGCTTTAGACTTGTGGCTGCCATGTAAACCCCTAAATATGTAAAATTGCCCGCAAGCTACACTTATCGATTAAGTTTGGATTCGCTGTCTCAGAGAGAGGCCCTCTTATGTGTAGAGATCATTCCTGAACCATTGGAGCTACCTTGTGCGGGATTAATTTGAATATTATATATTTGAAAATAATATTTGAATTTGGGTTGGTTCAGGTTGGTTCGGGTTGATCACACCTCAACTCATCCCCAATCTTAATTAAATTTGGGTTGAGATTTTTCAACCCATGTCCATCCTTAATTAAGTTTGGGTTGAGATTTTTCAACCCAAACTCAATTCTAATTTTAAAAAAATTTGCCCAAGCTCACCAAAAATCAAGCTAGACTCGGGTTGGATTTGGATTCCCCAACCCAAATTGCACCCCTAATTATGCTACTACTTGTGTAATAAAGTAAACACCATAAGGCCTAGTTTGGTA